AATCAAGTACAGAATATAAGATGATGTTTATTGCTTAAAGATGAGGGGATATTTATATTGTTTGGCTATCTATAATCATGTGGCGAAGTATAAGGTGGGCTTGGAAGTGTGGTGGTATAATCAGGCTTTGCATGATTGTCATAAAAAGGCAATGTGGCGCCATTCGGTAAAATGGCTTGCCGAGCATAAAGCTGCGACACTACAGTACACAAAACAAAAAGCACGACAACTGTCACGTGACCCACGATTACCGAAAAATAAAAGGTTGAATCGGATGATCCTGTGTTGGATCATCCGATTATTGATCGGAAGTGGAGAAGCCGCGCATCGATCGCGGTACCTCTCGCATGCTAAGCGAGCGCTCTACCATTTGAGCTACATCCCCTTGATGTTTTTTAATTCAGCAAAACATTGATAAACACCGCAATAACCCAATATAGAAATAATGGGATCTACGATGTAACTCCGAATCTAAAAAACATCCAATAAGCGCGGATGGTTTAGTGGTATAATATCCGCCTGCCACGCGGATGACCCGGGTTCGATTCCCGGTCCGCGCATAAATTCCAACCAGCTTTAGCTTATACTTTTTGTTCACATCGTGTCGTGGGTCACGTGACCTACGACACATCGTTTTTCTTTTCAGTAAATTGCGTGATGTGGATTGGCTTGCTTTAATCGTTACATCTGATAAGATTAAGTCAATTGTCAAACTAGCCATTTTACTTGATAATCTAGTTATAAATATATCATGCATACTTTGATATAATCCCCAATGCTATTTCTGCATAGCATTCATTGCCATATCGTGTAACTTGTCATGTGGATCTGCATACTTTGACACGTTCATAAAGTTCCACATGTCAACCAGCAAGAATTGCTCATCGTCAAGATCAACTCTATTCTTGGAACAATGGAGCTCTCGATGCGTGAATCTACAAGACCACCATCCACTTAGTGATCTCGCATGCAACTCTTCATTCAATTATCATTTTTGACACATTTCTATGCCATCAGAACTGATCCTTCTACATTATCTACAATGCACTCTTTATAGAGACTTTCCCACTTTGACATATGACCCCGCATTATATCAATTTTATCCTCGAGCCAATGATATTTTTACGGTGTACTTTATTCCAATTTGCTTTCATGCAATTACTGCGCCTTCATCCATTGTGCATCGCTGCAGAGATCACATGAAGATATTGGCATAGACATGTTCCTCAATTCAACTTTGTACTTTTTAGCCTGGCTTGGTATTCTTTATCATTTTCTCTTTCCCACATACATTTTCCTCTTACACAACCCTCTTTCGATGCTGTATAGTATCTGGCGTTCACTACTTTATCAATCCAACCACGTACTCAATTGCTACCATCAATCCCTGGATACACTTCACATTCTACCCAGCACATATCCCTTTTACTCTTTGACATCCATCCCACCAAACGCACCCTTTATATCTGGAGTTATTGTGGATCAACTTATATCATTTCACACTATCAGAAAACCAACGGCTAACAAAGGACACCAAGAATATGATACATTTTATCAACAACACCATGCAAGAATCTCGATAAGGAAGATAGGACTTGTAGCTTTGATCTTTATAAACTCTATTTATTCAAAGAATCTGAATTCGTCTTCTAAAGTGGCATCATTTTCTATTGATGGAGAAGTTGTAGTAGCCGGGTTGATATGTTGGGATTGCATCATGTTTGCATTTGCTAAAGGTGGAAAGCGTTTCTTACGACATCCACCGCATACTGGGACACATTGCCAACAGCGATCAAAGTTATATCCACATGCCCAACAGCAAGCATCTTTGGCAATAATCCGAGAGCATGATTTCATGTTGATCGATTGAAACGAGTCGACAAGAGCGGATATATGTGGTTGTTGTTCTAAGCCAATAATGCTATTATAATCGATGGTATTGTTGCTAGTAGTAGTGGTGGTAGTAGAATGATTGGAGTTGGTAGTGGCAGTAGCTCGTTGTTGTAAAGGTGTTCGATCACATTCACGGATATCGAGTTGTACATATTGATTACGTGAAAGACGATTAAGAGTGCGTTGGAATGTATCGAGATGTGGTTCAGTTGACATGTAATGATGATAAACATTGACTGATTCGAGAGCAAGCGAGTGTGGTTTCAGTGTGCCGTTCTTTAATAACTCTTGAATCATTTTGGAATCAACTTCAAGATTTGTATTGAATCGACGATGCCGTGTGCTCAAATGTCGTAACTGCGGAAATTTGACAAGCATGATGATAGGTGATATCATTGCGTCGTCGTTGCCATCCATAATTACCTTTATAAGGTGTAAGCTCAGCAAAGAACTATCGCATGACACAAATGGTTGTGATACAACAACATACCTCTTTCACCATGGTTCTTAAACCGTTAGAATCTCTTAGTCTTCGTAGTGCAGCATATAAGCTAGAGAGATCGCAGTAGTCGAGATCAACTACAATGCGTCGCCAAACTGATTGGTAGCCGAGAAGATTGTACCGAAAGTAGCGACAGGTATCCAGCAAATTCCACAAGGAGCACACGTCCAATTGACTAGCGATCGTGGCAATTACGTCAATAGGTATATCGGTCAACGATCGGTTGCAAGGCGTTATAGGCATGACCATCAAGAGGTGGATCGATCGATTAGTAAGATCGAGAGCAAGTCGGAAAGAGAGCGGCTGTCGGATTTCGATTTCACTTCTTGCATTAGAATAGCAGTACTCTAAATGATACTACAGCTTGTCAATGTCTATAAGAATGTTCGAATAAAACCAAGGTGTCATCTTCAAGTACTATGATCTACAACATGTGTGGGAGCACAGTGATGTGTGCGAGTACCGGGTGCATCACATTATCACCTGATGGACTGTGGTTATTGTGCTCCCCGCTCCTTTCACAGTTTCCTATCCTCACTTGGATGCCACTATACACTGAATATTTCTCTTTGCCTGAATGTATTCAACTCGTGGTTTATACAAGGAGAACTATCCTCTCAATGAATGAAAAAGTAGTAGCTAAGGATTGTTATCTTTGTTACAAGTGCTACCGCTACAAAAGGAAAGGAGCCGATGCCGATGAAGGGCAGGGAACATATGATGTTGTTGATCAAGTATCCTAGCTATTGGTTACACGTTTTATATATATTTACATATTATATATTAGATATCATCATTGATGAAAAGATATTTGATATCATATAAAAAGATTGTTCACATCATTCTATTTGGTAATGAAAATACGCGCATCCCAGTTTGGGTTACACAGCAGCTCACAACACACATTGGAATCCTTACGCCGACAGTAAAGTAAACGATGATTGTAAAAAGTGTGAAAGCATCTACTTTTGATATTGGATAGTGAGATGAGATGCGATCATCATTCCCTTGCTTCTTTGTTGATGATATCTTGCATTTAATCTATAGATGTATCATCCATGTCTTAATGCTCATAACTGAGAGGAGATTATAATGGTTGTGCCCCACTGTTGGCTCATCGATCCAATTTAGCTTTAATAGGCTACAAGTCATTTGTATTAGGGTGCGGGAGCGTTGGGATATAGAATTCCATCGAGTAGTGTGATGTTGTGGGGAACCCGCCATCAACGGCATGACTGCAACAGGTCGTCGTATTTGGAATGCAATGCATACATTACCACACCAGCAGCACTATAGACACTGTTGATTATGATCCCAAATACAGCAATCTTATTCTGCAACCCAAACGAGACCATTGCCCATCTTTTCCATTTCCGAATGACCCAAGGGCGCTTCTCTCCTCATAGTAACAACTATGCATAGTTCTCCTTACCCCACCCAGTTGTTACCCGCCAAAGCCAATCCACTTCTGCCACTCTCTCCGACATTGCTGTCTTTATTTCTTGATCGTCTTTGCATTTCTTTTGCTTCCCCTTTTTCTCTCTTACTGTATTGTTATCAGCTCACATAAGTTTTTCTTGTGCTCCTTTGATTCCTGCGTACTTTCGACCCTATCTGTACTATATCTATCGACTTGTTTTTTTCTGCTTCTGATATATATATCCATCGTCATCATCACTTTACTCAGAAAAAAAGAAACAACAGCAACAAGTATATGACCACTTTGGATTTGCCAGCAGCTACCTCCACATCGAGTAATAACAGGGACTGTGGCAGAGTTGCTACTGCCACTGCATCATCTCACAGCAGTGAACCAAGTAACAACAACAACAACAACAATGGCGCGTTGATGTGTCTCCCACGACCAACCAATAATGACACTGACATACGACTTGGACAAATTGATGAGCTCAAGTATTTTCTTGCAACAGCAACAAATGATTGGGATCCTGAGCAAGCAGTCAAATCATTTGCACTACCAACTACAGGCGAAAGTGTATCGTGTGTGTTTTGGAACAATCTTTTCCATATTACAGGCACTGACATTGTTCGTTGTTTGGTGTTTCGTTTTCATGCATTTGGACGACCTGTTTGCAATCTGAAAAAGTTCGAGGAAGGCGTGTTCAGCGACCTACGTAACTTGAAACCGGGAAGTGATGCATGCCTTGAAGACCCCAAGTCAGAATTTCTTGACATGCTTTACAAGAATAATTGCATTCGAACACAAAAGAAGCAAAAGGTGTTTTATTGGTTTTCGGTTCCTCATGATCGATTGTTTCTTGACGCTTTGGAACGTGATCTCAAGCGAGAAAAAATGGGTATTGAACCAACAAGCCAAGCTGTTGCAGACCCTGCCACCTTGCTTTCACTCGATACCACACATGAACTCTTTGATCAATTACGCAAATCCATGGCACTATCCGCTGCTGCTACAGCACATGCTCTAGAAGATGACCAACAAGGTAAAGCATAAGAGATACAAAATGAAAGAGAGAAAGAGAGCATATACACACATACACATCTCTCTTGCTCTTTTTCATTGCATGACTGGAAGAACATACAATTAAATAAAAGCTTTCTTTTCTTTCATTCTATATCGTATACCATTGACAATGTTACGCGACGAATCGTGTGACATAAAGAAAAGAGCACCAATGGATTCAACCTGCAAGTGACAGTGCATGACGAAGATTTATCTAGTGACATTGGGCGCTTGGATCTCGAACCACCTCCGCCACAACCATGTAGGCTCCGCAACCCCAAAGCTATCTTTGGCATGGTATCATTGTTTGAAGGATCGGCTTCATACAAACAACGTAGACGCCGAGCTGCATCTTTATCATCAACAACGACATCAACTGCACTTGTGACTTCAAACCATGCTACTGAAACCGCTCGTCGTCATCGTTCAACATCAAATCCAGACCCGGATATTCCACTATCATCAGCTATTGATGATATTGCCTTTAGTGGTTGCCCTTCAGCATCTT